TCAATTCAAACGGTTTTATGTGATGGCCCGCGATGTCGGAGATGTTACGTTTCCCTTCAAATGCCTGAAACATTCATGACATTCCAGTCATTGAACTGCTTCATACAAATTACCTTGAATGGAAGATAACTCACCTGAAGAACCATGTGACTGAGTAAGTTTCGATCAACATCAGGGACTTTAACCCAATACATTTTATGCATACGTTCTACGAACTCCATGAACAAAAAATTGAAGATGATCGGGTCGTTGCTCCCTTCACTTCTATCAATTGGCAACTAAATGAACAATCACACAATTGAATACAAGCTACATATATGTATCGTTTTATCAAACTCCAATTATAAGTATCCGAACAATCTTGCTTTGCTAACCATGATGGAACGGTCCATTTGTTACTTTTATATGATGCGGAGGTTTGCAACAGATCTTCCAAATCCTTGTTTTTGACCAACTTTTCCTCGAAGTTTTCTTCTGTGGAGTTTTGTTCATCATCGTCCTGCAGTGAAATACAAATATTAGGCAAATATAAGACATATTCACTCACAACCTCCTTGTTAGGTTTTGGATGAGATTAGAAGACTCAGATTCCTTTTTACGAACTTCAGTATTACCAGTGCTCTACTTGATAAACCTCGATTTCTTCATTCTTATACAGTCTCTATTGAACTTGCACTCCAATCGATGATCAGCAGGCTGAGATCATGTAATACGTTCAGACATTTCGTTTCCCTTACAGTCGTTTTCACTGCGAACGCTCCAGATTAGGTTTATTGCAGCGCCAGCCCGTTCTCCACCAACTGTTGAAGCGAGCGCGTGACAAGAATAGGTGGAAAACGAGCTGCAGCCCCATTGACACGCCCAGCGTCTACCGCGGAAACGAGCACAGTTCACTAATACAAAACAACGGTTCCCCGGCTACAGCGTCCTGACAGAAGCGTCGTGACCAACAAGAAGACGGTAGAGTGTTAATTTCAAAAAGTGCTTAGATATTGACCGTTATAAGCTCCAACAGCCCGGACCAGAAAGAAGTCATCTCTTCTCTGTTGATCTTTGCGCTAGCATCAGCACCACTAGTGGAAGGACTGCTGCGAATGCTGGGGCTGTGTCAGGGGAGGGTCTGCGGCGATTTCCCATTAGTTGTGGTTGCTTGCCACTTTCTATAATTGGAGGAGAACGATATGGCACATCCAGACCTCCTCCTATGCACCAGCTTCCGTAGCGAACAACATTATTGCTTCTCTCCCCTAAGTTCTACTTGGCTTGTACGACCTCCTTTTATTGCTTCCCTCCGCATTTAGTTAGTATACCTAACGGTTTATGTTTTCTTTTGTTTCGGTTTGATTTGCCAGCGGTTTGATTTGCCTTCGAGCGGTTTGATTTGCCTTTGAGTTGGTATGCTCTTAATATTCATGTTCTTTTTTGCTGTCGATGGTGCACGTAAGTGCTAGTAAACAAATAAACAAATAAACATTATCTTTGCAGTACTGAACATGATGCTTGCGCTCCGCTTCCTGCTTTTTGAAAATTGTAAATGTGCTGTAACTTACAAGATCTATGACCCCTACGGTCATACTGCTACGAGATAGAGGCAGCCTTCGCTTCACACGTCTGGCGTAATTGGTGAGTCGTGAAGCTGTCACTCCATGGCATTTGAACTGTGCTGCGATACGCCGTGAAATAGCAGTGTCAAGCATATTGGAGTTTTCCTTGAGAACCCTGAATAGAAATGTGTGATTGGAATTCTTAGAGCACTTTTCCAACTACACTCTATTTCAGCTAAATGTGAAAAGAAATTGCCATAGTTCTATGATCAAGATGTGTAAGCCAAAAGAAAAAATAAATATGGTTTCTTAACGTGTGGTCTCCAAACCCTCCCAAGTATCACCTGGTGGGCGTGGCCCGCCCTCACGGGGCGCTGTCGCGTGGCGGCAGGAGCTTCAACGAAGTTTAGGAGGGCGGGTGTGAAGCGTTCTTTCCTTAAAAACCCTAGCAAAGACCTACACCCTTGCGATGAGATCGAGCAGATGTCAAAATGCGTTGGACTGAGCTACTCTGTTGGGAAGAATGATCGGAGAAATTTTCGAGAGAGTAGCACACCGCGCCCATCTATGCCAACACAGGTTTTACTGGGGAGGGCCAAGTCGCGTCGACGGTAACTACGCCGCCAAACCGAAGATGAAACAGCCTTCCGCCTCCCGACAAAACGCGACGAGTTCAAGAGAAAGGATAACGCAACCCAGGTAAAGAAACATGGCATTTCGAAGGAAATCTTCTAAGATTAGATGAAAAACTTACAAGGCAGTGCACTTCCTATAAAGTTCTCGCGCATGAGGCTTGCGCACGAGATTCTCACGCCTTCAAAACACATGAGGCCACCCAATTGTGATAGCCGTTGATTCAATATTCTGAAATCTCCAACTTTCTAAGAAATCTTAAAATGCAGTATTCTATGGCTGAACATAAAATAAACTAAATCCGAATTAAGCAAAGTGAAAAAAAAACGCTTCACCGCGGTTCACAGCAGGTACAACAGATGCCGCAGCACAAAAAGTCGAGACCCACACTTTCGCACCCATAGGTACTCTTTTCAATTTTTGAAGCCACAGTTTTCAATGAATCGCTCATTTCAATGGTTTCAGAGTCATTCTGTACTACCACTTCCAATGCGGGACCGGCACGTGCAGTGATGCCAATGGAGTCCTCTCTACTGTATTCCTCGAGACCAGGCCCCGCACGTATAGTGCAATTCGCTGCGGATGGTTGGGCGTGTTAGGCGGGATGAGTTTAGCGCAGTGCCAAATCCCTTCAGGCCAATTGTTTAAAGCGACAAATGACATGAATTTATCGTATCGTTCGTATTACTGCGTTTTCTACAGCCACTTTTGTCGCATTGCGGCTCTCCAACGGAAGGCAGACGGGTGACACGGCCCATGCGTGTCTGACCACGTCCTAACCACCAGCCAGCGGAACTAGAGTGTAAGTCTGGTCCTGACTACACTACCCATCACAATCTATCGTCTGGGAGAGACAGGACCACTTTGGTCGTGTGGCAGTGCGCCGGGCCCACAGTATATAACTCTCATAATCATATCACCATTTCTGCCAAGCTGTGTTCTTTTGCGACGGCAGAACAGGAAAAATGGCTATTCGATTTTTTATGAGATTGCGCGTTAAAGGAGACGGTAGGTGTGGATCTGGCTAATTGCGAGAAATAGGGGAAAATCGACGATTCGATGTTTTAGGGGACTCCCACCTCGCTGCTGTGGTAAATTATGAACGCAGTTCTATGCCCTAGTCATGCTCTTCTCTCCAGCTGATACATAACTGTCTCTACCGGGATCTCTTTCTGTCTACAAGATGGATTTCAGTAGTGATGGACCACCATTCCCCGTGTGTTTTTGCAGTTCATTGATTAGCAGCACTTTCTATAATTCCCAACAATGGACTCAAATACTGAAACATTGTGGTATAGGCCATTTTCCTCTAAAATATTTATCTACAAAAACTCAAGTACTAAAACAGTCTACCTCATCAATTTCAGCCAAAGCCGGTGAAAACTCTTCGGGAGTCACAATCACCTCCTCTTCGCTAAATTCAGGTTCTTCTAATTTTATAACCTTATCCGCAACGAAGACAGGTTTTTCAATGCCCACGACACTTGCAGCAGCAACATCTTGTCCTTCCAAATTTTCTGCACCGTCGGGAATGACCATTGTTTCCTAGAAGAAGAAACTCAAGGAGATAGGCACCTGCTTCCCATGCCTTATTTTCAGTGCTTTGAAAAGAAAATGCGGTAATTTTTTATTTCAGTTAGTAAATGTTAGCAGATTGCAAAAAATTGGGTAGTTCTCATGGCGCACTTAACTAGAACAATACTTTGCCTCGAGATAAAATCTGGAGCAGATGCGTTCAGATACGCGCAGTCAAAGGTGTCAGAGGATATGACTGCCGATGGCTTAAGTGCTTTTTCAACCGACTTCCAATAACACGATGCTTTTTGGTGCAAATCTTGTGGATCATGGTAGTTTTAAATTTACGAAAGGAGTCCTCCGAAGACAAACTGTACGCTTACTTCCAGAGACTGTACTCGCCTTAAATTGTCCGATTGATGCTGCAATGGCGTGCCCCTTTTTTGCTTAGAAGTGCAAGGGAGTGGTGCTGGAGAATGGTGACAGCCATTTGCGGTCTCCATATGCCGCCCTCGATATCTTCAAGGTGTAGCGCTCGCATCGATGCCCAAGTCCCGCAGCGAATACGCACCCGGCGGAAGAAAACATCAAAGGTGTGGA